AATCCAAATAACCCTTTTTTTATCCACCTCATTACAATTTTTCAAAGTTCACATCATTAAAATTCATCTATTTAAAGAACTATCTTTATAATTCCATTTATCCCCCGTTCAAGTTATTTTCTTCACCTCTTGTGCTCATGGCCCTACTATCACGCACGTATTCGTACGGGAATAAGCGTACAGGCCCACTATGCGTGAGCCAAAGTGGCTGCGCTCGTCCGGCGGCAACCTCGCGAGGCGGAGTGGCAGCGCTACGATCAATTTGTCTGTCATATATGTTTTTTCTACTGTTGCTTGCAGTAATGATTCACATGTGTACATTTTTGTCATCACAAATTTGCTATGATTTTTCTAGATGAAATTAAATATAAACATACCTAAATTTCTAACGTAATCTTCTTTAGGAAACAGATGGCTGTCAATAATCTTCTTCACGAGACCTCTCAATTCCAAATTATAAGACATTTTGTTTTTTTAGATTCATAACTTTTGCTATGGACTTAGAATATATAGCAAAATAATATATATAAAAATGTTAAAACGACTTATAATTTAGAATGAAGGTAGTACCATCCGACCACTTTCCTAATAATGCCCCCACTCGTGTAAAGTTACGTGTAGATATGCTCGCTCCAATATAGAGGTGGAAGGACGTGGGGAAGAAAAAAAAAGTAGAAGAGGGTTCTAATGCAAATATACAAGAGAAATAATATTATTCAAAAAAAAGAGAAATAATATATAAAAGTGGTTAATGTGATTTAAAAATAGTTTATGATTCCTGATGTAAAATTGACTTCTATATTTTAGGTGTGAGATTTTGGAAATTGTTGGAGTTGCAGTTTTTTTTATGTCTCCTAATATATTTTGCAAAGAATGGAAAACATATTTTTGGAAGTATTTTTTTAATACTGTTGGAGATGCTAAGCGGATACAGTAAACGAAAGGCAAGTGGCCGACGCCGGACAAGTACCATCTCAAGCTAACAGAGCCCATTTGCTTTATTTTTAGATTTCCATAAGGTAATGGAGGATAAAAATTATACAAATCGATGCTACAACACCTGCTTGATGCAGACGGCGCTTCCACGCTGTTCTAGTGCTCATCACTACCCTGATTTGTAATTGTACAATGTTTTTCTCATGACATGGTCAACAATGCTATGCTGTTACTTGTTAGTTGATCTCGGCCTATTGGGTCATTGGATCTGCGTCCTGATCGGAGGCGCTCAACCCTAATATGCAGCCTGTTCGTTTGGCTGTGGCTTGTCGTAAACGATCGTAAATTTTTAGCTGGAACAATATTTTTCTCTCACATAAATTAGTCAGCAGTACTTCTTCACGAACCAGTAACGATACGAACCAGCCAACCGAACAGGCTGATGGTTGGTGGGCCCCTGTCGCACAGCACTATAAAAGATATGTGGGGATCACGGCTCTAAGAACGAGGTTGACCGGAGCCGCCGTAACCACCTACAGAGAAACCTAATCCGATCTAAAGAAGGGTGCTGCCAGCGACGGGAAACCCCACCGACTCTGCCGTCGCCTCTGCATCACCACTAGACATCGTCTCCACCACGCTGGACACCACCGCGTCGAGCTCCCTCGACACCGTTGTCCACGAGGCTGCGGCACAACTGCGTCAGGACGAACTAGAGAAACCCTAAATAAGATGGTTACCTCGATCTACGGTTCTAGAGGCACCGTTGTATCCAACATTACTCACCAGACACCAGAGACTCAGCCGCGTCAAGAGCTTGAGGCAGGAGTAGACCTGGTGGTGTCCTCGGACACGGAGGGAGAGGACTCGTACGAGTGCCCCGCTTGCGACGGAGATGCGGAGTACTTGTTGCTCCGTTTGCTCCCCCTGTCCCTGATGTCCTCGATCATCTTGGCCACCACGGCCATCCTGGGCCGCTCCCTCGGGTTGTCGGCGACGCAGAGCAGCGCCACCTGCAGGAGCGCCACCATGTCGTCCTCGGCGCCCCTGCTCCGCGGCAGCTCCACGTCGAACACCTCGGACGTCCGCTCCTCCCGCACCACGGTCCACGCCCACCGCGGCAAGTCCGCGCTGCCGTCCTCGGGCGACTGGCGCCCTGTGAGGAGCTCCAGCAGGATGACGCCGAAACTGTGCACGTCCTGCTTCTGCAGGGCCTCCCCAGGCGGCGCCGGCGCGAGCAGCTGGAGGAGAGCGAAATCGGAGACGCGCGCGTTGCCGCTGCCGTCGACGAGGATGTTCGAGGAAGTGAGGTGCCGGTGGGAGAGATTGCCGCCAGACACGCCGTGGAGGTAGGCGAGGCCGTGCGCCGCGTCCTGCGCCAGCTTCAACCTGGTCTGCCAGCCCAGAGGAACTCTTGCCGGGCCACGGTTCTCTATATATATACAGAAGAGCACCAATTTTGTGCGCACGTCAGAAGACATCACCTGACTGACACGTCCGAACTACACGTGCGACGAGAAATGAGGAGCGCTGCTCACCGTGCAAGAGGCTATGGAGGCTGCCGGTGGGCATGTAGTCGAAGACGAGGAGCAGCTCCTCCGTGGACGCGTAGAACGCGCGCAGGCCGACGACGTTAGCGTGCCGCCACGTGCCCATCTCCCTGGTCAGCTCCCTCCGCCGCCTCTCGTCCTCCCTCGACGCGCCGTCCCTCCTCCTCATCCTCTTCACCACCACCACCTCTCCGTGGGCCTCCTCGACGCCGGCGTCGCTCGCGTCGACGTTGCCTCCCATGACCACACGGTACGTCGTCGCCGTTGCGCCTTTCCCCAGCATCTCTGCGGCGCCCTGCATGAGCGTGGCCACGTCGAACTGCACGCAGCACCCGTCGAAGCGCACCGTCTCCTCCCGTGCGACCGTCGAGTTGGAGGACGTCGAGCTGGCGCCCGGCCGTCTCGCCGGCTTCCTGTTCTTCAGTAGAAGCACGGCGCACAGTGCCGCCGCGACCAACGACGCGACCGCCGCGCCCACCGCTGACATGATCATCACGACCATCCACCGGTCATGGATCTTATTCCCTCTCCCCGTCGTCATCGATCCGTTCGATGCCTCGCCGCCGCCGTTGTTGTACACGATCTGCTTCGGTTCATTGCACAGGCGGGCCAGCGGCGCGCCACAGAGCCCCGGATTGCCGTCGAACGACGACGCGGGAAAGGCAGCCGCGAGGCGGTTCGGGATCCGCCCCTCGAGGTGGTTGCCGGAGACGTTGAGCTCGGCGAGTTTGGGCATTGCATCCAGCGAGTCCGGCACGAACCCGACGAACGAATTTCGCTGGATGTTCAGCGTCAGGAGAGCACGGAGGCAGTGCCCGATCTCCGGCGGGATCGTGCCCGCGAGGTGGTTCCCCGAAAGGTCTAGACGGCGCAGGTGGCGAAGGCGCAGGACGAACTCGGGGAACCGGCCGGAGAAGCCGTTGCCGGAGAGGTAGAGAAGCTTGAGGTGCGGCGCTAGGCGGGAGAAGTCGACGCCATGGAGCGCGCCCGTGAAGGTGTTGTTCTTGAGGCTAAGGGACGAGAGAACGGGGAGATCCGCGAGCAGCTCCAGCGCCGCGGCGTGCCCGCCGAGCCGGAGGCCTTCGAGGACGACGCGACGCACGCGGAGCGGGGAGGTGAGCGACGACGACCGCTGGCAGGTGACGCCGCGCCACTTGCCGGCACAGGGGTCGGAAGACTCCGTCCATGAGCCGAGCGCCGCGGCGCGGTCGGAGCATACCGACTTGAATGCGAGCAGCGCGACGGCGTCGGGGCTCGGGGCAGGGGCGGAGGCGCGGCTCGCGGCGATCGCCAGTGGCAAGAGGAGCACGCGCAAAGCAGCCATTGCAATGCTGGAGCCCGAGGCAAGCAAGCGGCGAGTGCAGGTAGCGTGGGCGCGGGGAGCGGCTCGGCCTCGGCGCAGGACACGTAGGTGTATCCGTGTATTGTAGCAGTAATGGCGCGGAGGAGGAGAGTTGATGCTGCAACGGCCAGGTGCGTGAGGGATTAATGGGCGTGTGCGGGAGGAGGGCGCGGCCGCGCGGGTGTGGCCCCCCCGCGGGAACGAGTGCGACCGGCGTGAGCCCATTTGCGCACCGTTGGAGGCACGCGGAGTGAAGGCCGACGCGACATTGGCAGCGCAGTCTGCATTGCGTGAACTCTCCCGGCTATCGTTTACGGGGCTTCTAGCTCACTCAGCAGTCACACACATCACACCGGTGCATCGTATTCGTTCTGCTGAAGCTCACATGAAAACTAGCCATGGTGCTTTGTTTAAGGGGTGTCTGATCTGCCATTGAATGTTCATCACTTGTCGCAGAGTCATCACTGGCTCACTGGTGCATACAGTATGCTTTATTATGGTTTCCTGTGTATCTGAGCGTCATCAGTCTGGCCGGGAAAACTAAACGACACAACACGGCCGTAGCTATCCTGCTCCTGCATGCATGACAGCATTGTCTCTGCCTCCAGTATGAAATGAAATCGAGTTAGTTTTTGCTCTCATGCTGTCTTTTTCTCCGTATATGTCTCGGGTTCCACTTTTCGTTTGGAAAGTTTTTGCTGTCAGGTCTCCTACTAATACTCCAATACTGTCAGGCCTCCAGTATGAAATGAAATCAGTTCATGCTGATAACTTTAACCCATACACCAATGCAGACTCAAACTGCTGACCGCGCATTACTAGGTAAGATAGGCAATTGATGTGGACTCAGGAATACAACAATATATCTGCTGTTCTGGGATTCTCTGTTCATAAGTTCATTGTCTCCTACTCTCCTCTTTTGCCAGCTAATCATTTCAATATGCTTTATATCAAAAAATATTCTTACAACACATAGATGAGATGAATTCATAAGTAGAGCACCACAGCAAAGAAAGTTATTTGCACATTTAGCATCAAATAAGTATAGTACAAACACAAAAGGAAAATATCTAACAAATAACTGAAATAGCTGATGCTATCTACCAATTGATAATTTCTTGGAATGAATGACCTAGAGTTACAACAACACTATAACAGAGCCACAGCTTCAACTATTTTGCATTCCCAAAGAATATTCTTCGAGTAAAATCATCATCAGAACATGTTTCCGAGCGAAACCAACTAAGCTCTGGCAAATTCGTGAGCTGTCCCACTCCAGCCAGAGCAACATCCTGTATATTGCCAAACCAATCATGTCAGTGCATGAGGCCTCCAGTAGCTCAAAGTATTCATCGATACTGTATTAAAACTCCTGCGGGGAAGCATTGCATTGAGTTTCTCGCACGCAGAAGAAACACCCCAAAGGCCAGCTGCCCTAGACTCAGGGAGACTGCCGACAAGGGGTGTCTTTTTAACCTAGGTCTGTTATTCGCTCTCACGGACAGTCGAACCCAGGACTAATATGCTACTAAGGCTCCTGTGACCACTATACTACACACCCGTTCACCAAAGATATTGTAGTACTCTGCGTAAGTAGAATAGCCACCACTTTTGGAAATATACCTTATCAATTATGTACTCCTTGGCAGTTTCCATTATTGTAGCACAGTCAACAGCATCAATGCGTGCAAAAAGCTCTAGGAACGGCATGACTCGCCCATAAGTTAACATCTGCATGAGATAGTATGAGGAAAAATCTTATTAATCAGGATGGGAGAAGCTGCTGCAATTCTGAGAAGTTTAGGCTAGAATAGTAGAATACCTGGCGACCATTATTCTCAGAAACTGCGGTGGATCCATCCATGTGAAGTAACAGAGCAGATTTCAGCTGGCATAAGATACATGTGTTAGTTCTAAAATATGTTTCAGGTTCCACTAATGCAAACCAGATCTACCAAGTTGCATGTTAGTGTTTACATGAGGAGAAAATTCTACAGTTCACCAATATTTAGGGGAACATATATGTGAATGTCACAATAATTTAATGTCACAACAGTGTTACATCATATTAGCATATTTAATGCTTCTAATTGTCCACAACAACACAGTATCATATATCCATTATAGTTTAAAGGGAAGGGAAAGGTTTGTCTTTATGAACATGTAGCAATTTTCCCAAATAAAAAAGATATCCACTGCCAGTGGAGGGAGGGAGGGAGAATATGGGCTTACTAGACAAAGCTTATAGGATTACTAGACAATACGCGTATAACCAAATCACCGATATGTCAGGAACCATGCCATACCCGTGTCAAGGCTTACTAGAGAAAGCCAATGTTATCAAGTTGTCCGACTAATCGCGATTAGTCACGCTGATTGGTGCCATGGCGATCAGTTATGCACTACGATTAGTCACGATTAATCAGGCTGATCGGTGCCATGGCGACTAGGATCGATTAGACAATTTGATAACGTTGGATAGAATATATTATTATAAATATTCACTGCCATGTGCTTGTTTTTGATGAAACATAGTTCTATATAGACAGGGTCAGATCAATAAAACTAAAGAATTAGCTTTCTCCCTTCTCTAATGCAGATAGAAGTAACCCATCACTTTTTTCTTCTACTATAAATAGCAATACCCGAAAACAAGATATTAGCAGCTGAAATGTACAAAATATACCGGCATATAGGATGTTGGGGACAGAACCAGCTACCTGATTGCGGGCACGAGCAACCTCTGTTTCTGACACTTGGGATGCAAGTCTTCTAAACTCCGCCATTATTAACCGTGACAAGTCATGCAGGGTGTCAGGCTGCAATTGATTTCACAAATTGAAAGAAACATTGTAGCAATCAATATCTCCGTCAAATCAATATATTCGTTCAGCTGCTGGTATAGATGAATGGTCACTAGAAATTTCAATAGAACTATGTGCTGTGCAAATACAAGTGATTGTCTGAGTAGTTTATTGATCCATATAATATATTAACCAGACATTGGCTACATTCAGCCTATGTGACGGAATATATAGGGAGTATTTATGAATATCCCTCGTCATTTGAACAAGGAAGTTCCCTTCCTAGTGCCAACCCCAGAGATCTGATCTGGATTGCCATTGATTCACTCAAACAAACATGTCCTATCCCACCAGAAGGCATTCAGAATCCTCACTGCTTGATCATTAAAATGTGTAACCACAAATGTTGCAAGGGAACACCCACGCCTAATCAGTGATCACTATTCCATCCACTCATCAATCTAAATCTTATTTTGGAATGAGAGAGCCTTCAAAAGTAGATTTTGACCACCATCTTAACTATATTTTCAATTGCTATATAAAGTCATCACTATATAGTCATCACTATCTTAGAGGCATTTCAAAGACGAACTATTGATGCAATATCTATATAATAGCATGCGTGTAATTTGTGATTAACAGATTATCAAAACTCATAAAATTTGACCTTTCCATATCAAAATATGTGTTGCATTGATGAATGGAGGGAGTACTATACTAAATTAATCTTTATGCAATTTCAGAGCTTACAAAAAACGAACTCATAATGAGATAAAAGGAAAAAGACAGGAGACCTTACAAGTGTCGATCTTACGTTCAGGCTAGTTGGACTAGAACAAACTTAAAATATTGAGCAACAAACTTACCGGAGCAATAGTATAAATGCCAAATATTCCTGTGTCCCGATAGTTAGTATTGAACGCCATGAGGCTCTCAGCTAAGTTAGCATTGCTGATACCACGAGCTAAAGAAGACCTTGTAGTTTCAATAAGTAGCATCAGCGTTAAACAGCAATTTGGTGGTAATACACAAGGAAAGCAAATTACTAACAAATCAAATGTAAACTAGGAAGGGAATTCTCATACCCTGAGCAGTTCCCAACCCCAATGCTCCTGTACCAGGATCCCAATATGCTTTGGATCACCATAAGGGGAATGGAGCTAGGGTCAGTCCATGATGCGCCTTTGAAAGCTATTGCAACATGTGCTAGAGGCAACTCTGCATTTTCTACACGAACCTACAAAAGCTGAAGATCAGTTGAGTGGAAAAAAAACACTAAACCAAATTAAAGATTATTTGAAATGGCCTAGAAATTGTTAAATAAGATCCTGTATGAACAAACCAGACCTCAGATCCAGTAAAAATAGCTGGGTTCGCCTCGACAAGCTGATCAGCAGTAGTTGGATCAGTGGAGAATTCTGCGAATAATTCTTTCACCTGATCAACAACTTCATCATGACTGACACTTCCAGCAGCAGATACAACCTAGACCAGACAGCAGAATAAAACCTTTACAACTTCTCTGCTCAAGAAGAATCAACGTCTACGAACTTTCAGAATTCTCAGAAAGAAATACCATTCGAGGACAGGTATAATGAGTTGAGATATACTGTTCCAAGTCTTTCTTAGAGATGGACCTAATATTCTCTTCAGGACCTAATATTGTGTCCCCTAGTGGATGGCCTTGGAATGCTGCTGCATGCAAGTGATCAAATATCACTTCTTCCATCATACCTTGCACCTATTTTTCAATAAAAACAAATCAGGCATCCACATCAAGCAATAAATGTTCCATTTTAGTAGCAAGAGCTGTTATTAACCACATCAAGAATTTTTTTCACTGAAGATCATGGAAGAATAATGTTAAAAAGGAAAACCAGCAATGCTACATGGTTAAAGTTTTGGTTTTTATGTTGACTGTCATAGCATATGAATCATCAGGATATCACTAAATAGCTGCATTTACTGCTAAATATCATCATCGCATGCAGCACCGTTAAAAATGTTCTCCCCTACAAATAAAAACAACGGTCAGGGGGTCAGGGCATTATATTTGTTTATATGTGCCATGGCCCATAGGAAGCAGCTTCCACATAACCCATGCTGAATGAGATGGATAGCATTGGGTGCAAACTAAGAGTTCAAATAGATACCAGTTGCCACGCTAACTTATAATCAGTCAATTACACAAACTTCAATAAGCAATGTCCCTGTTAAAGCAATACCAAATGTGCATTAAAATAACAAAGTCTCCACTTTTAGTTGAAAACCCAATCGAGCATCTAAGGGTGTGTTTGGTTTGAGGAATGAGGTGATCCATCTTCTTACTCCTCACTTTTTTTTTCTTTTTTGGTTTGTGGAATAGAATGAGTTGATCCATCACCACCTCATTCCTCAAGCTAATAATTAGTACATGCATGAGGAATGGGTTGATTCCACCAAAATTCATGGGATGAATCCATGATGCACCACCTCACAAAGCATAGGATGATTCCACAAACCAAACACACCATAAAGTTTTTGCCTTTACCCTTATCACAATGGTATGTCCAATTAGCAACGCAGCGAGAATACTGTTAAGTACTCTAATCTAAGGTAGTAAAGCAAGGAATCGAGGTCTGAAGGACAAGAAAGGTACAGCACAGCAAATTCGTAGAACAAGCTCACCTCCTCCATCTCACGGAGGATGACGCCGCGTTCCCGCTGGATGGCCTTTTCGGGGAATCGCGGGTGCTGTAGGATGTCGCTGAGGACGTCTAGCGCCGCCGGAACGTGGCGCGCCTGCACGTCGGCAAAAAGGTGGTCTGCTCGCGGGAGGTATACGCGTTGAGGCGCGCGCCCATGTCCTCGATCTCCACCTCGAGCGCCTGCGCGTTGGGCCGGCGCCGGGTGCCCTTGAAGGCCATGTGTTCGAGGAAGTGCGCGGTCCCGTTGGTTCCAGGGAGTTCGAAGCGGCTCCCCGCATCGACCCAGACGCCGACGGAGGCCATCCGTGTGGCGGCCGGGTAGGCCTGCGTAACGATGCGGAGGCCCGAGGGGAGCGTGGAGACGCGCGCGGCGGGGAACCGGAGGTACGGGGAGTGGTCAGGGGTGCGGGGCACCGGCGAGGCGTGGCGGAGGAAGCGGCTGGTGGAGGGCCACGGGGAGACGGCGGTGGTGGAGGCGGAGTGGAGGAGGCGGCTGAGGTAGGGGAGGAGCCGGCGCCTCGAGCGGGCGGCTGACGCGAGAGCGGCCATGATGTGTTCGACGGAATCCCTCTACCGTCGCGCCGCGAACAGGGGAGACGAAGAGAGGGTTCCGGGTTTTTTTCCCCTCTCTCCCGTTTATTCTTGCGGCGGTGGGAAGGCTACCGCCTACCGCTGACTCGTAGCTGAGAAATATCGCGGGGTTTTGGTTCCGAGTCGGGTCAGGTAGATTGCTATACGTCAGCCAGTCTCGTCGCCGTCTTTTACCTAGCGTCACATAACTTTTTGCTGATGTAGATAAAAGAGAGAAGAGAGAAAGAAATTGTTGCTCATGAGCTAAACTTTAAAACTATAAGACAACTATTCTACTATTGTATTCTACTATTGTATAAGTTATTGTTGTCATATAACTTATAACTTTATTTTATTTTATGCATAAATTAAGAAATTATAATTTACCATGAGACAACTTAAAAAACAATCATTGTATATATTGTCTAGTAAGCTGTCTTAAAATTACGTGGCACTACATGAGACCACCTACGACACAAGACCGGTGTACTTAGCCTTAGTAGTCCTAGCTTTATTAGGGCACAATTGAATTGAATCAATGAAACAGACACAGATAAATAGGAAACATGAAATGTGGAGAAGTTTACTTGTGAATTTGAACGATATTAAATCCGATGTTCTTGTATGTTTTCTTCAGGAGCGTTACCTAGACATCCGTATCAAACTTGTTTGCCAAAAGCCAGACACCTCACATCCATGTCGGATTTCAATACAGTATTTGTTTCCAAATGTATTTGACATGTCAAAAGAAAATCTACCAAATCGCCAATACAAACATCCACGTCCTTATATAAGTTATATAACACGTGTTTTCACACTATATCGTCGTATGTTTCTTTTGGAATAAAATACTGTGATTTTTTTGTTTTGTTGTATGTTGAGCTGTAGTGCAAGTTTAAATTGCCATGACAGGTTTATTTTTCCCATTGTATGGGTGTAGATTTAACATTATTGATCCTTGTAGTGTACATGACTTTGTTCTCCGGTACTCAAATTATCATATTTATTTTATATTTTTTATTATGATAAAATTATGTATAACTTTTTAGGTACAAATTAGACTTTTTATGAGAGGATTGCAGTCTGAGCCATTTTCTACACCCAACGTAAAGAAATATAACAGGTCCACTAAGCCCATGCAGTATTGTTTGTCAAAAAAAAAACAGCCCATGCAGTATTGATAGATGGGAAAAAATCTTTTGACCCCTTAGAGTACATGACTTTGTTCTCGGCTCTCAGGGGATTATCTTCTTTATTTTATATGCACTGTGATGATAAAATTATGCATAACTTTTTAGGTAAAAATGAGCTTTTACCGAGCTCCGTGAACAGTCTGAGCCATTTTCTACACCCAACGTAGGAAAAATAACAGAGAGAAAACCACTTGAGCCCATGCAGTATTGTTCAATGTCGTGGTGTCATGCAGGAGCCGGTAGATGGGAGCCCGCCAAACAAGGCCTAATAGTCGCGGTTGTCCGATCCCCCTCCTCTCATCTGTAAAACTTTGTTTTTAAACCCCTAAACTTTTGACACCATTTCTTTTTTGGCACCTCGGGTATTTTCATGATGACTTCTGCTAAGGTGATGCCACGTCAACTATCCTACATACATGGTGTCGCGTCACCTAGTAGTGGTAAATCGGGCTATAATTTTGTCTAAAAATTGTTCGCTTTTTTAAAAAATGCAATTAAAAATCCTAAAATCTAGTTTAGTGTTAAAAATCATAGAATAAATGATACAGATCAAAAATTACAAAACTAAATTCATATTTTCCTAATATCATTTTTCTATTCTATATGGTGCCTAAATTAGAGCTACTTGAATCTTATAGACTCCTTTTGGTGCTTATTTACTAGTAGATAAACTCGTTATCTATTATAATTAGTTTACATTGACGATAAAGTGACTTGCCATCTAGTTTTCCCATCATGTTATGCTCCATAATTCAATGCATTATTAAAACTTAAAGTAAATTCAATAGTTATAAAAAAAAGCATGTCAACAAAAAAAAGCCACATCAACTAGTCTCGTTTACCTCCACTTAGTTGATGTGGTGCACGCGAAAGGGCTTGTTGTAACACCCCGGTGTTATGCCAGCATTTAGGCACTGTAAATCATACATATCATGCATCATCAAACATCCTAATCATACAAGCCTAATCATGTAAATAATAACTGAAACCCTGCTTCGAAACATACGAAACATGCTCGTGAAACATGAATGTTGCATACACTTGTTTAGAGTTGTTTTGCCATGATTATGCTTGCTAGGTTAGTAAAACATGTTTGGCTATAATTGTAAGTCATCTAGAATTATTTAACACAATTTTTGGAGCAACGTTTGTATTCAAACTTTTGACAAAATATGCTTTTGAAATTATTATTGGAAAGGGTCAAAAATCCTCTCTATTTAGCTTTTGCTTCCCAATTCAAAATCTATGCAAAATTTTTAGTTGGTCCATAAAGCAAAGTTGTAGAGGACTAAATTCTAAGCAACTTTTATTTTTGGGCTATTTTCAAAAGAAGTCATTTTCTTGCTCAAAATGGTACATGAAAACTGATAATTGAAAATTCCTTGAAAATAGAAATTTAAAAATGATTTTTCACCTTCTTGGGCTGCGCCGCCTTTCTTTTTCGCCAAACCAAGACAGGCCGGCCTGCCTCCTGCCTCATGTATCCATCGCTGCCAAGCTTTCGTTCCTTGCCGCGCTTGACCACGTCGAGGGCCTTCATGCCAGTCAGCTAATGGTCCATCGCGACATGACGCCGCGCATGGCAATTTACCGCCTTGCCCGCACGCCCTCTGTCGCGCCTTTACCTTCCCAGCCCGCCAGCCAGCTCTTCTCACTTCCCGCTCCACTCTCTCGCCCGCCAGCAAGATAATAGCCACAGCAAGACGCTCGCCCTATCCACCACCGCACAGCGCCTCGCCACGGAACCCGCCGCCCGACCGGCCCCTAGCTTCGTCGTTGAACCCTCCATCTCGCCAGTAGCTCCGCCTCCTCCTCGCGCACCTCGTGCTTTCGCCTCGATAGCCGTGAGAAGCTCCCTCTCCCACGGGAATCTCTCGCGGAGTTGTGGCCGAGCTCGCCGGAGTACTCCGCTCCGTGGACCTCGCCCCTCCGTCCTCCTTCTTGCTCTCCCTTCGCGCGCACGAACACCGCACGAGCTCGGTGAAGCTCCCACACCACCTCTCGCGCCCCTTCTCGGTCGGAGATGGTCGGCCGTCGGTGAACCGCGCCTCCGACCCGCCATGCGCGCCACCGAGCTTCCTTCCGAGTTTCTCCCTTGCCCGTTCTTGGCGCATCGGGTCTGCCTCGTCGCGGAGAGCCCCTGGTGGTGACCTCACCGCCAGCAAGCTCACCGGCGGTGAGAGCCAGCCGGTCAACGACGGCCCTGCCTCGGCTCCAGCTGACGCGTGGGTCCGGTTTGACCGTGGGTCCCGCCTAGCAGCCCCTCTGGGTGCACTGCACCGGGTGCACCTAGCGGTTTTGGGTCGGTGGCATTTCGGTATTAAAGAAAATGATTTCATAAATTGATTTACAAAGCTTGTAAAATGTATCTCCAGTTATATTGCTCCAAAAATGGTGAAACAAATTTTTCTAGGTTTCTTGTCACCAGATCTACATGATAAAAATATTGCATGTCATTTTTGAGATACTTTTCTGTAGAGCTTTATTTAATTCTTGATATTGCTGATATCTTGTAAAATGTGTAGAAAAACCTATAGGCTTCAGAAAAATATGATTCCAAGTTTGTTAATCTTCTTATGTAATGTGCTTCCTAAGAAAAATATGTGTCATGCATGTGCTGTAGAAAAATTTTGAGGTGTAGTTCAAGTGTCTTTAATGGCTGATTTCTATTAATTTTGCTAGAGAGCAAAATTTTTATAAAACATGCATGTGATAATTTTTGTACAGTGATTATTTGCTGTGTAGAACATAGAAAAAATATTTCCTGTTGTTTGACACTTTTCACAGTACAAAGTATTTTCATATTCATAATCATGCCATAGCTTGTTATTTTTGTGTAGGCTAATCCACTCATTCAAATACCATGAAAATCTGATGGTAGACTACTTAGGGTAGTACTGTGCTATGGTAATTTTCTAAGATTTTTCTAAGCAATAAAAATACATGTTGCTAATCAAACCTATTATTATTAATTAGGGTTTAATCAAGTGTTGCTTTATGTGTGATTAAAAAATTAGTGAAGCTTTGGTGTATCTTTGAAGCATTTAATAAGATGTGTTGACTTAGCATATTAGTAGTAGAAGAGAAGGCAGTAGATGACATGTGTTTGTAGTATATGTTTTTGGATGATGTTGACTACCTTGCATTCAAGCATATCCATTGTATTCATCTCATCCGATGCACTGATTGCATAAGCACTTACGCACATTGCATCATACAGGATCGCAAACCGAGAACCCAGTCGTCATACCTGAGGAGCCCGAGGAGCAGCTCGAGGTGCAGCCGCAGGAGGTGCCCGAAGCCGACGAGGAGTACGTTGAGGAACTTCCGGAGTGCCCCGATCACCGCCCGAGCTCCTTCGAGAGAGGCAAGCTCCGGAGCATTTTCTCCCCGGTTTGTAATTATTAATTAACTGCTTTACTTTAATTGATGCATTACGTTCAGGAGTTGTTTGCAACCGTTGTTGTATTATACCTTGTCTACCTTTGTTATACCATATCCTTGTTACCCTGGTATCTATAGTCAAGTCAATGCTTAGCTAGCTTAGACCGGTAGAAGTCGAGTGATTTCCTATCACCTGCGAGCTATAGGTGGTTACCTGGATCTGCTTGGATAACTATGTAGTCATGGTATAACTAAGTGTTAAATGAAGTTGAGACCGGATGGAGACTTACAGAGTTTTGAACTGTAGTGCTTTCCGTCTGTGTCGATTAAGAACCGACCGTTGTTGAGCCTCGAGTTATGTTGAATGCATGACTTACATTTAGCTGGCCGGATAAAGTACCT